CCCGACTTTTACCCCCGGGGGCGCCAGACGTTTGGGGTGTGTGTGTTGGGGGGGGGTCCTCGCAGCGGGTGGGCTCCTCAGCCGTATGCTCCTGCCTCTAACCTCGGGCTCAGTCACCCTGAGATAGGCCTGGGCACTGCCAAGCACGCCTGTTCCCCTGCCAGTGTTGGGGGAGGGGGAGACAGAGGAACGGCCCGCCCCGGAGGACACCCGCAAGCTTGGCCTGGGCCTCAACTCTCGCGCTGGCTCTGACTGACCACCTCTCCACCGCCACACACTCACAGATAGGCAGCTGACCCCCAATCGGGGTCTATTTCAGCCCACCTCCTTAGGAAGCATCGTGGAGTCAGAACAGTTCTGGAGGACAGGACCAATACCAGGATCGTTTTCACACCTACTACCCGAAAGGCCAAGTTCTCCAGTCTCCTGGTGTCCTGACACATGAGTATGTAGGGTGTCATACTTAATTATTATTCCCATTTTACAGAGGAGGTCACTGAGACCTGAGTAGCTGCAACAGTCTCAAAGTGCCAGCTCTAAGCCGCCTCTGCCACTGCTTGCTCCTGTCTTCTGCCGCTGGCGTCAGCCATTTCTGCATTTGATCTTCACAAACCCAAGAGGGGAGGTGCCCCCACCACCACCTTGGAATGCCTGTGGCTTGCACTGTGTGCGTTTAACCAGATATGTGGCATGTTCCAGATTCTTCCGGCCGCATATTTTGAACTGCAATTTAATTTTTGTCTCGCTATTAACTTTAGTGTTTGTCCTTTGTGTAAGCTAGAGGGCATGCACCCTGCCTTAAAGGACAATGCCTTCAAGTTCTTGGTAACAAAAGAGACATGGGCTTGCTCTGGGGTGATGTGGCTGTGATGTTTTTGACTCAGTCACAAGAGCAAACCCTTCCCATCTTTTCCTTCTCTCAACCCAACTCCTTGCTTCCTGCCAAAATGCACTCACCTTTTACAACACCCAGCTCCGAAACTCACCTGTCTTGAAACCTTTCTCTGC